TAAGTGCTTTTGAACTATATTCTCGTTGGGTGCCCCTGTTGAAACAACAATTTATGAAAAGCGGCCAAAAGTGCAACTACAACGTAAGTAATGCCGGTGTGTCTCTCGATCGCCCAGCGATCCGTTCTCATTCAGCCTTGCGATCTTCGACTAATCACCACAGAAAACGTTGATGTTAAATGTGCAGCCTTCAAACTTGTCAATATGCGCTCCGACAAAAATTGCCTGAGGCTGGATTTGTTGGACTGTGAAGACATTTTGCTGTGTTGTAGTGGAGGTACTGACTTGGTTTTCTTCGGACTAAGCGGATGTACCTGGCTCACGATTCATGATAGCAGAAATTTCTCGCTGTCGCTTCAGAGATGCTGAATGGTAGCTGTCGAGGCTTTTCAAATTTTTTGACCGCTTAGCTGTTCAATGAAGTTTGGCTGAACGTCTGCTTCGAGAAGTCGTCCAACACTGGTCTTTCCAACGGAGAGATTAGAAACCTTCTTCTTGTTTGTGTCATCGAGTTTGGCTGCAGCAAACGCGTCTTTGTAGTCGGCTCGTACTCAGTGCCATTTGTTTTACGAACGGAGATGAAAAATTTGGACAAGAGAAGGTCGAGCTCATTGGCAGGTATATTTTCAATTGCTCTAGACCCTTTCAGTGACTCACAAAATTTCTTCCATGCGTTTAAATCGCTCTTAGTCTTGTATTGAGTGTTTTTTTTATTTCTGCTCCTGCAAAAATGTCTCAATTTCGACTTCATCTTTGCTCGTAAGTTCCTCGGGAAGACTCAAATTTGCCAGCGTTTGCTCGTTTTCTTTACCTGCTTCCTCGTGAAGGTCCACTGATTCTTCCATTTAGTATTATCAACAGGAACAAGCCAATTTTTTCACATTCTATGTTTGTAACTTTTTGAGGACAGCTGTTACAACAAGATCGGCCTGGATGCCGGTCTAGATGGGAAAATCTAGACCGCGGTCAAGATCGATTTTAGCCAATAAAATTCTTGGATTTGTTTGTTTCCAGTCCTTTTGAGACACGGCCATATAAATATGTGATATTAAAGTAATACAGCACGTATATAAAAGTACTGATACTAAGTGAAAGTAGATTATGATTTGTACTATAAAGATACTGGTTCAGTTAATAAAGGCGTGGTCGGCAATGTGGTGTAGTCATGAGACAAGGAGATACTCCCAATTCAACAATTTAAGGTCTCGGTAAAGGAAAACGAGGTGCCCACAGAAAAAAATTCTAGTCGCGCGAGTATTTTCGCTACAAAGGCAAGTTATATATCAAATTAAAGCTAAAAGACTAAATTACCTTATGAAAGATTTTATTTCATCGAATTTCAAAAGGCGCTTAAGTTTTTTGCTCTCGAACTCAGAGGTATCGAGTTTACTGCTGAAGCTCCAGCCCTTTCGCGTTGTTAAATATTCACTTCCTTTTTATTGCATCTGATTGACAGATAAAAGACCTAAAAAAGGGTGTGAGGAAATTTGCGTATGTCTCGTATTAGCGGAATTATTGCATTTCAAACTAAAAAGTCGAATCTCGAGCGCGATTTACGCAAAGAAACTGGCATAAAATGAGTTACAAAGGGAAATCGGAAAATTCCTCACACCCTTTTTGAGTCTTATATATCATTATCCATCATATCTGAAAGTTTCAAAGCGATAGCTTAAAACCTGTCCCGACTGGAGGTCGGAGAATTTTGATTTTTGCGTCTAAAATAGAGTGAGAGAAAATCAGCTCTAAAGATTTAGCGCGAGGTCCACGCTTGGCTGGTTAGCTCAGAAAAGGCTCATTTTAGAAGGGTTAAAAAGCACTTTCTGATTTTCTTTTTCTTCCAAAATAAAATTTAGGACCCACTCATGCCAAAAATCCCAAAAAAACAAAATCGAGCAATGTACTAAAATTTTCATTTACCGAGACCTTAAGCGTTCGGCATGGAAACCTTAGCTTTCGTTTTGAGCAAGGATTTGACCAAAGGAGACATCCAGTGTAGATCCCGCGTAGACACAGAGACCGTTCGCTGAGGCATATAGTTATTCAAATGCCTATAAATAACGGCTTCGAGTAGGCTCTACCGCTTGATCCAGGTTGTTAGCAGACAGGGGTACCCAACGGCAATTTTCGGGAAAATATCTGTTCGGAAGACGATTTTAGATCTAGAATTTTCGGAGCTTTGGTGTAAAAGTTCTTGCTTGCCTACCTCTCCTAGGATTTTCGAACATCTACAAAATGGTATAATTACCCATTTTTAACGGATTTTGACCCTAAAAAAAGGCCACCTAGAATTTTCGGGAGCCTTTTCCTGGCTGAAATTTTCGAGAAGGTAAGTTTTTATCCCTATAATTTTCGGATCACTAGACTTTTAGCTAGGAAATCCGAACAGATGAAAAGTTTTTAGGGGATAAAAATATGCCTATATCTACCGTTTGAATATTAAAATACGTTCAACAATGTTATGTTAAGTTGTTTTGAACTATATCCTCGTTGGGTGCCCTTGAGCATACAGAACTCGATCCCAATTTTCCTTCTCGAGAGCTTGATAGAATGCAATCTTTCAATGTGCGAGGCGATCGCGAATCAAAACTTTGCGGCGAATAGGTTTAACTTAAGATCCCGCTGGCTGGCAAAATAACCACGGAATGGTCAGTCTTGATTAGCATATCCAAAGAATAGCAATTGCCAAAGAGGTCTTTGCGATTGGTTAAAACGTTATCTAAGCACGATTTCCCCCTTGTTAGAAAATTAGCGAGAGCGTGCCAACCAGATAATTGCTACAATTAATTGGGTAAGGTCCATTTTGTTAACATCGCCACCACAGACAATGACCGTGTCAGGGTGAGAGTAAAGGAAAATGATTACAAGTGCTGTCAACTCTTACCTTACTCACTTGACGAACTTCAAGGGGGCCTATTCTCTATTAGAACACTCCCTGCCAGTCTCGGCAAAAGGCCAGTATTATAATTTTCATCTCATAAAAACAGTCTGTATTCAAGATTTTTTCAAAAGAAAGGCCTGATTCCATTGTTTAAAGACAAATAAAGAAAGGCAGTACGATAAGTGACAAAGTTTAATAGAAATAGCTACTGGAACAGCAACAAAATAGAAAATAGGTTCAATCAACATGTCAGAGCTATTTGTTTACTGATGGTTTTTGCCCATGAATATGTATTTCTGTCTTAATCGTTTGTTTGTCAACGATAGTTAACGCTGTGGTAGCCTCCAGGCCTAACTAAAATAGACTCTGCAGCCTTTTATCCCGGAAAATAACAAAGCGTTCAATCTGCTGAGGTTCATTTGAAATGTTACACATAGGCCGAATTGATCCAGAGACTAACTGACACAGACTATTGGAGTAGAAAGGATTATCAATAGAAAAAAATATTCGACTGGCCTCCGAAATCCCCCTCAGATAAGGCACTTTAGCATTTTAGTCTGTTTTATGTCGTAAAAAATGTTAAAAGTTCAACTTCTGTGCTCACCCAAGTGTCAACTATTAAAAGATCTTGCTTCCACAGTCGGCCTTAGATCTAAACATTTCAGTGGTTACATAAACAAAACGTATTTACTCGGCTGTTCAAACTGTCTGTTCAAACTCAAAAGATAATTTAAACTGCCAAGCAGGAAAAAGTCACGATTCTCATTTAAATGCCACCGTAAAGCACCTTGATTGGATATTCCAAGCTTTATTAGCCTCGTAGCTAACCTCAGTCGTATATCAGAAGCTCTTTCTCATACCTGTTTTACCTCTCGTCTCGAAAACAATCGCATTTGAGCCATTTTTAAAAGTACGGAAATTTTAAACGTGAAAACATTTTCAATGATGACTTTGTAAAAAGAGTTTACTAGTAAGACGGCATAAATCCTGTTAATGGCTTGACCGACAAACCTAACATTCATTTTTTGCATCCCCAGATACAAGTTCTCAGTTTTGAGTGCGACGAGTGTAAATCATGTTGCGACAAGCCGCTGTTTTCCTCTGTTTACTTCTGGCTGGATTGGCGGTAGCTCAGGTAGATAAGATCCAGATTTTTGTTCTAATGGGTGTTGGTAGTAAAGGGAAATGGAAGTGGAGAATTGGAAGTGAAAGATGTCTACTCAGGTCGAGATTTTGTAAATTGAAGCGTTAGCGGTGATTCAAGTCCGGTGGGTTCTTATAAAACATTAAGAAATAAAGAAACTTGTTTCGTCTAATTTGTATGAAATAATTAGCCTGTGTAGCAGGCGTTTTTTTCCGAGCAAAAACAATTTGTTTTGCTCCCTTCCTTTCCCCCTCATCACACACCGCGCTGGTCTCTCTTACACAGTTCTTGTACAACTCCGCCCGGTTAAATAAGGACTGCATTATGCAGACAATCAATTATAAACTCCAAGAAATAAGAAACTGGGGGCACTGAAAAAAAGAAGTAATCTGATAAATGGAACCTACACATTTGAAATGTCAGATGATGTAAGGCTAAACAGTTAACAACTTTACTTTTGACACGAATCCGCCTGCAGTTTGACATATGATCACATATCGACATATTGGAAAGCTTTTGAAACCTCGCAAAATGCATACACATACACTGTTAGCCATTACGACACCAAAAGGAGGATGATGAGGTTGTCGCTATATTCAGATCTCTCTTTACAGATAACCCACCCAGCTCAGACTGAAAGGTTGCCCACACCACCAGGGTCTAACTCCCCTACTCTTTTCGAATAGTTGTGTGGGTTCGTTTACGCCCCACAAGAACTATACAATTGAAAGTGCTGTGAGACTGGAGCTACGGTTTGCGGTCCTTATCCGAGAAGACTAGAAAAGCTAACCTTTTGCACATGTCATTACAAAGGCGAAACTTTCTTGTCAGACCCTGAGTGTCGGTGTGGCCGTGATTTCAGTGAACCCGCGACTTCCCGCTCAGCATACCGGCACTCTCCCGACTGAGCTAACAAGGCGGCAGTAAGGCAACTATGTTTCATCAATATTTTCATTGTCTTCCTAGAAACCCTACGGAATGTTGAAAGGATCTTTAACGGGAAGCAAGAAATACCCTGCAAACACAAGTAATAATTGACAACTCCTAAACGGTTATTAGTTTTTAGTGAAATCCAACTAGTGGTCTATTATCAATACAGATATCTGAAGTGATTGAAAAAGTATCAAGTGTTAACTATCAATTTTATTAGAGGTAGAAAGAAAAATGCAAACCATTTTTCGTAAAACATTTATTTATTTATTTATTTATTTATAACAACTTTATTTGTAATAATCAATACAAAAAGGCTGCCATCAGGGAGGAACTGAATCCTCATGTAAGATGACCCGCTAAAAATATCTACAAAGCTATTAAGGAAATATAAGTCAGATAAAGACTGAGAACAATTAGGCTCCCTCCCCAAAAGCGTTGCCTGACACTAGCTACAGCTTAATTAACCCCTCGTGACTAACGTATTAATCACAGTAGCGTCGTCAATAATTGCAGAACTTATTCCTATTATTCTTCTTTCCCCTCAGTAATCACTGATTTTCAAATGGATATGGACGAAAAACTCTACAAGTTCAGATATCTTTTGATGGGCGGTCAGTTGGAAGTGCAAGAGGAGGGAGTCTACTACGTCTTTGCCCAAGTTTTTTTTGAAAATTATCCAGACGCTTCTTCAATCTACCATAACAGAGTGGAGCTTATTGTTGTCAGTTTGTCTTATTTCGAATCTAGCGTTGCGGTGATGCAAACACCCATCGGCAACCAAGCTGATTATGGTACAGAATCCTCCGGTGTAGTTGTGAAGCTGAATGTAGGTGATCGCATCGGCTTGAAGACCGTGTACGAAAGTAACATCTGGTTAACAAAACATCATACCTTCTTCGGCGCTTATAGAATCGATTAATTTGATGGGTGCTAAGCCTTAAGTCACGCAATATTTATTTCTCAATGAATGAAGCTATGCTGTTCTCATAACTCTTTTCCTAAGAAACAAAAATAGATTTGAAGCAGTACTTGAGTATTAAAATACAGTTGACTCCCGATAACCGGAAAAAAAAAATTTGTACTGTCGTTCGAAACGGATGTAGACAAAACTTGAACCCCCCCCCCCCCCTCTCTTCTGGACCCCCCTTTTTTACCCCTCATTTTTTCAAAAAATAAAGAAATAATCAAAATATCCCATACCATCAGTGTGTCTTGCACTTTTTACCATGAAGTTCGAAAGGTCACCACAGAAAGTGCTTCCTAGATACCCATTAATTTTCTATGGTTGTACTATAAGAATGACAAACGGCTATATCTCCATGCAGTATCCGCAAAACTTTGGGTGCTGGCAATGCAATGACTGTTCGCGACTTCGCTCGCGACGGCTAACGCTCACTACTACTCCAAACTCCCGCCATTTTGTACTTTAATCCCTTTGTTTCCATATCTCAAACCACTCTTGGATACCTTGTGGTGCCAACGTATAGTAAATTCAAAACACTGTTAGTGATTAGGATTAAGCACTGACCGTACTCATTAGTAAGGAATGACTTGTAACGGTTGGCTTCTATTTGGATTAGGGTTTTCGATATATTAGAAACAAATCGAACCTTCGCTCAGCAGTACGTAGATCCTCAGTGGGCTCGGGGCATGAGTAAGCGCCCACACAGACTCTATGCTCTGGGGTAAAATCCGCTTACGCCGATGTCAATTTTTTACCTTTAAAATTGAAGAAACTTGCACTTTGACATTTTTTTGTTGAGCAGAAACTTAGAAATTTCATGTAAATATAAGTGAGAGGAAAAGTATATGGAACCCGGGGGGACCCAGTAAACACAATCGTGCTATGTGACCTTGTTGGTGTTGGTCAGCAGTAAAACTAAGATGGCAGAACAAAATAGCGGGAATTTGTATTGTAGTAGCAGTCGAGGCAATCGCCAAGTCGCGAGCAGTAATTGTATTAACAGCAGTGCACGCAAAGTTTTGCGGATACTTGCGTTATAGTAGTTTGTCAGCCTTATAGTACAACCATAGAAAATTAATGTGTAATTTGGCGGTCACCTGTCCAGCTTCATAGTAAACACCTAAAAAGTGCAAAACACATTGGAGTAATGAAGGTGAATTTAACCGGGTACGGTTTTCCACTAGAAAGACATACAGTCAACTCTCTCTAAGACGAACACCTTTGGGACCGGCACTAAGTGTCCGTCTTAGAGAGATGTCCGTCTTATAGAGAGTCAAATAGAAGGAGCAAAGAAAGGTAGGGACCAAATCTAGGTGTCCGTTTTACACAGGTGTCCGTCTTATAGAGGTGTCCGTCAAGAGAGAGTTGCCTGTAAACAGAAATGTTGCCACTTACGATTGGTTACTTCCAATTTCACTGATGTGATCATGTCATTCGTGTAAGGACAAAGAAAAATATCGAGTGCGAAACTTTCCAGACGTTTTGGAACCGTGGGGCAAAATGCTTTAGTTACTCATCTAAACACAAAATGCAGCCAAACGTTGCTATTCAGTAATGTATTCCGCCGCAAAATAATTAACAATTGTCTGTGGTGAGGAGGTCAATTATTCGGCTGAGGCAAATAATTGATCCACGAGACGCTGACAAATCACGGTATTTTGCGATAACCGAGTTCGATAATTGTTTTATCATTCGATCACCGAGTTTGTTTTTTTAATGAATATCCTCCGGAAGCGAAGCGATCTGCCATTTTCACGCAAGAGCGATCGCTAGAAGGAGAAAAGCACGGATTCCTTTACGCATGTGTAGAAAATTATTTGCAGCTAAACACTTAAGCCAAACAAAGTTGGACGGCATTGCGCATGAGTAAACCATTATTTGTAGGCAGTTATTTGCGTTACTCCTATATTAAGATCTCTCCTTACCCTAACCCACCCAGCCCAGAAAAGGTTAGCCACACCACCGGGGTCTACGTCCCTACTCTTTTTGAACAGTGGTGTGGGTTCTTTTGCGTCCCACAAGAACCAGATAAGTGAAAGTGTTGTGAGACGGGACCTATGGTGATCTATGGTTTTTCGTCCTTATCCGAGAAGACAAGAAAGTCTAAACGTTTGAACATGTTTTTACATAGGCAGCATTTTCTTATCAGTTATATAAAGCCCTTAAGTGTTGGTCTGACCTGGAATTGAACCAACAAGAAGCATGCAAAAATATTGCTAAAAAGGTTCATTCGAATGGTTAGATAGATAGATAGATAGATAGATAGATAGATAGATAGATAGATAGATAGATAGATAGATAGATAGATAGATAGATAGATAGATAGATAGATAGATAGATAGATAGTTAACCAATACTTGCAGCCCGAAGGCTGAATTGTGTATTTACAAATGATTGAACTGATAAAATGCGTATATGAAACTAAGTACAGTAAATATAAAAGTATAAAAAAAATATGAGAAAAGGACTAAAAATCTACGTATATATATTATCGATGCAGGATCTAATAATAAAACTGTTTCTAAAACGATCTGTCTTGCATTTAGGTACGACGAAGAGCCTGTTGCACCTTAGGGCATAACGTGACGGTCCACTAAATTGTATTAACCTGTTCAGACAGTGTTCAGGGTCCTTTACAATGGTGTCGAAAGTATTACTACACAGCCCCGTGATGAAATCTACAATAGGGACAATGTTCACTAGTTCAATGGTCTCCTGGTAGGGCAGTCCTGGGCATATTATAGACATTGCCCGCTTCTCAACTCGCATCAACTCGAATAGTTACACAAAGTATTTGATAGACGGACTCACGTAACAGGTGTCTCAATAATTAGCTCTAGGAGAAAAAAGAATTATCTAGTACCTTATTGCTATTTATTTTTTCGGGTCTTTGATTTCGCGTTTTTCGCGATTGTAAAAAATCGCGAAATTAAAGACCCGGGAAAATAAATCCTCGCGAAATTTAAAACCCATATAGAAAGTTCAAATAACAATTAACATTGTAATAGCAACGATATGTATCAACAAACACAAATTGCTTGCTGGTTTTACTGGTAAGCTCCATTTTGTATCTTCCATTGTGAAATGACGTTAGTTTGCAAAGATTTCAGGCATGGCTTGTTCCAGTTAATTTAATTTTCTTCAAGGTTCAGACTTTTAAAAGCAAATGAAGTTGAGAACGCATTAATCCCGACGGGGGGGATATTCCCTGTAATGGCCTATACGGGGAGGCTCCGCCAGCAGGGGGTACCTTCTTCACTTCTACTCATTGAAGTATACGAAAAGGTAGGACAATCTGTCATTTGGGTCTGTGAAAGGGCTCAAAGGGCTAACAGATGAATTTTATGGCTTTAGAAAGTCGAGAAAACGTTCCATGGTATTTTTGTGATTGATTCCTATTTAAAATATTTAACAGTGCATTTACAGCAGTTAAAAGGGATGCAAAGTTCTAAACAAGGTATGTGAAAGGGGCCACCATTTGTCAATAGAAGGTGTACGAAAAGGGTACCTCTTTCTTGAAAAATGGCATATAAAAGGGTAACGGGTTGGACCTCCGGAAGGAGCCTCCCCTCATAAAAATTTGTTGAGTACCCTCTCGGGGCTTAAATCGCGAAATTTAACGCCCTTTTTACATGTTTACTTGTTAAAATCGCTAAAATAAAACCACGCCCAAATACTATCTGCCCAAAATCGCGAGATTAAGAGTACCAGCGAAATAAAGTACCAATAAGGAATGAAAAAAGGAGTAGAACCTCGGAAAGCCTAATTTAGTATTTAATCCATTGTTTACATATTGTGTGCATATTATGTAAGATTCCTTTTTTTGTCTCTGAAGATACTGATTAAAAAAATAATCCAGTGTTTTGCCGTTCGACGTATTTTCTTATACGCGTGAACTGCGACCCCAATTTATCAAAGACCTCACTCCCACAAACGACCCGAGATGTTAAAGACATTTAGTTTTATTAATTTCTTTGAATTCGTTGACACAGTTTACTCACGTTACTCAGCTGTTCATACTGTTTGTTGATGCTTAAAAAATAAGTCCATTGTCAAGCTGGAAAAAGTCGCGATTCTCTCTTTTACATATTTATTTGTTTTTTATTATTATCTTTTAACTTTATTTTATTACAATTATTCTTATTTTTTTTCCTTCACCTTTTTCAAGTTACCCTGCGAGCAGAGGCTACATTTTCGCGGTATGAGCTGGCACACGCCAGCTCATACCGCGAAAATGTAGCCTCTGCTCGCAGGGTATTTTGAAGTACGCTCGTGCGTATGGTGCGTTAGCCTGCGAAAACATCAGTTTCTCCTCGCTCTTCGCCGCTGAGGACGTTTCGCGAGGAGGAAACGTCCCCAGCGGCGAAGAGCGAGGAGAAACGGATGTTTTCGCAGGCTAATGGTGCGTACAGATAGCTACGCCCCTGACAGTGTATCTCCCTGTTTCAATACGAAGTTGATGATTACCTAGACGGAATTTATTAATAGGAGATCAGTGAAGATAATTTTTTATTGCATCTAGAAATTCAATTCTGTTGCTATCTCTTTTGATTTTTTAGAGGTAGCAACAGAATTGAATTTTTACAACACTTAAAAGTATTGTAAAAATTTAGTTTTCTGTTCGAGGCAATAGAATGGAGAGTTGGTGGTCGATCAAGGCTTTTGACAAATTTGGAGCGACATTGGATGAACTATATTTATCACATTAACATTTTTATCTTTTGTGATATGCTTGGCTTATTCAGTTCAGCCATATCCATTGTAAACACCAGTGTTTTGCGATATAATCATCAGGCAAGTTTTGTTAGTAAATCCAAAATTTTAAATAATTGCGGAAAAGTCAAATTCAAGGATAATCTACCGAGTTCATTTCTGGCAGCAACGTTTCGGCATTGTTTGTTTACTCCTAATGACTGTTTACAAAGGAAGATATGAGTTTTCTCAATAATATCTCAATAATACACGATACGCGAAAAGACAGGTTTTGAAATTCAGACCAGGGGCATACTAACCTCCCTCAGAGAGCCTCATGGCTTCCTAGTCTATATGTATTCCCCTTTCCAAACCTTTTATCTTGCACTCACAATTCTAGTTCTTTTCCAACAAAAATTCCACCAATTTAATTGTTGTCGGAAATATGAAATATAGTCAATTTATGAATTGCTATAAGGAAATATGATTGCAAGTATTGTCAACTCTGATCTCACCTGTTGAGGAACACTAAGGGGCCGACCTATTCTCTATAAGAACACTCCCTGCCGGTCTCAGCAACAGGCCAGTATTTTAATTTACATCTTATAAAACAGTCTGTATTCAAGATTAAAAAAAAAAAAAGAAAGAAAGGCCGGACTTAAATGTTTAAAGAAAACAAAACAAGGACATTACGATAAGTGACAAAGTTAGAAGCAACTACAGTAACAAAATAGGTAACTTCAAGAAAATGAGTTCAATCAACTTGTCAAAGCCATTTGTTTACTGATGGTTTTTGCCCATGAATATGTATTGCTGTCTTAATCGTTTGTTTGTCAGCGATAGTTAACGCTGTGACAAACTCAAGGCCTCACTTAAGTAGAGCAGGTAAACCTTTTATCCTGGAAAGTAACACAGTGTTAAATCTGCTAAAGAGGTTGATTTGAAAGGTCACACCACAGGAATTGATCCACAGACTTACTGGCGGGCATAAATAATTAACTATTGGAGTAAAAAGGATTATCAATAAAAAAAATATCAGACAGGCCTCCGAAATCCCCCTTAGATAAGACACTTTAGCATTTTAGTGTGTCTTATAATTGTACGTTTAATTTGTGTCCTCACACAAGTGTCAACTATCAAAAGATCTTGCTTCCACAATCGACCTTAGACCTAAACATTTGGTCACAAAAGTAATTGAAAATACGACTTGTTGACTCAGTTTAAAAAAGTTTACCCGGCTGTGCAAACCTTTTGTTCAAACTCAAAGATAATTTAAACTGCCAAGCAAGAAAAAGTAACGGTTCTCATTTAAATGCCACCGTAAAGCACCTTGATTGGATATTCCAAGCTTTATTAGCCTCGTAGCTAACCTCAGTCGTATATCAGAAGCTCTTTCTCATACCTGTTTTACCTCTCGTCTCGAAAACAATCGCATTTGAGCCATTTTTAAAAGTACGGATATTTTAAACGTGAAAACATTTTCAACGATGACTTTGTAAAAGAAGTTTAACAATCACAAATCCTGTCAATGGCTTGACCGACAAACCTAACATTTTTTTTTTCCATCGTAGATACTGAACAAGTTCTCAGTTTTGGGTGCGACGAGTGTAAATTATGTTGCGACAAGCTGTTTTCCTCTGTTTACTTCTGGCTGGGATGGCGGTAGCTCAGGTAGATAATATCCAGATTTTTGTTTTAACGGGTGTTGCTAGTTCCATTCCACCTTATAAGGTGGAGTGGAAATGGAGAATCGGAAGTGAAAGATGTCTACCAAGATTTTGTAAATTTGACTCGTTAGCTGTGATTCAAATCCTGTGGGTTCTTGTAAAACATTACGCAATAAAGAAACTTGTTGCGTCTAATTTGTATGCAGAAATAATTAGCCTGTGTAGCAGGCGTTTTTTCCAAGAAAACAATATGTTTTCCTCCCTTCCTTTCCCCCTCATCACATACCGCGATAGTCTCCCAGATCGCTCAGTTCTCGCACAACTCTGTCTCATTTTTCACGCCCGGTTAAAAAAGGACTGCATTATGCAGGCAATCAATTAAAAACTTCAAGAAATAAGAAACGGGGGGCACTGAAAAAAGAAGAAAGTAATCTGATAAATGGAACCTACACATTTAAAATGCCAGATGGTTTAAGGCTAAACAGTTAACAACTTTTAACACGAATCCGCCTATGGTCAGATATGACCACATATAGTTACATATTGCAAAGCTTTTGAAACTTCGCATAATTTATACACATACACTGGTAGCCATTACGACACGAAAAGGAGGATCATGAGGTTGCCGCTATATTAAGATCTCTCCTTACAGATATATCCACCCAGTCCAGGAAAGGCTGGCCACACCACCGGGGTCTAAATCCCCTACTCTTTTTGAATAGTTGTGTGGGTTCTTCCACGTCCCAGAAGAACTATACAAGTGAAATTGCTGTGAGACGGGAGCTACGGCTTTCCGTCCTTATCTGAGAAGACTAGAAAGTCTAAACTTTTGCACATGTCATTACAAAGGTAAAACTTTCTTCTCAGTTATTTAAAGACCCTGAGTGTTGGTCTGGCCGGGATACGATTTGAACTCGCGACCTCCCGCTCGGCACACCGGCACTCTCCCAACTTAGCTAACAAGGCGGCAGTAAGGCAACTATGTTTCATCATTATTTTGTCTTCCTAGAATGCCTACGGAATGTTGAAAGGAACTTTAACAGGGAGCAAGAAATACCCAGCAAACACAAGTAATAATTAACAACTCCTGAATGGTTATTAGTTTTAAAGGGGCTATCTCACTAGGATATTGCTGTTTAAGGTCAATTTTGTGCTCAAGTCATTACTTAGTACCCTATACCCATACAAAAAATCCTGCGGTGTAGAATTATAAAGAATATACCCAAACTTTCATCAGGAAGCACTAACCATAATAATTTGTTGGTGATTTTTGTAGGAATAACATGAACACTTAAAAAAAAAATGGCCCAACTATTACAAGTTTCAATCCATGTCCATCTTTGACATCCGATCCTTGAATATAGTCTTTTAGCTTTTAAAAAAGATAGTAAATAACGTGGTTTTGCTCCTTTTAAGTTGCAAATCCTAGAATGGTCATAGTTTCAATCACTTATAAAATTCGTAGTCGACTGTTCTCAGATGTTTTACGAAAAAGATTTTGCATTTTTCTTTCTACCGCTAATATAATTGACAATTAACACCTGATTCTTTTTCAATCATTCCAGATACTATAAACTTACCAAATATCACGCGCTAGCTAAGACTGAGGTAATTGTCATTCCAGTCCACCATAAAAATCCCCGCTCAACTGACACTAGCTAGCTTAAACAACCCCTCGTAACTAACGTATTTTTCAATGGCAGTGGCGTCGTTAATAGCAGAATTTGTTTCTATTCTCCTTCTTTACCCCCAGTAATCACTGATTTTCAAATGGATGCAACAAACTACAAGTTCTCCCTAGTAAGCGGTCAGATGGAAGTGCAACAGGAGGGAGTCTACTATGTCTTTGCCCAAGTTTTTTTTGAAAATTATCCAGACGCTCCTTCAATCTACCATAACAGAGTGGAGCTTACTGTCAATGGAGTTCGCGTAGCGCTGATGCAAACACCCATAGGCAACCATGCAGATTATGGTACAGAATCGTCCGGCGCAGTGGTGAAGCTGAATGTAGGTGATCGCATCGGCTTGAAGACCGTGTACGAAAGTTTCATCTGGTTAACAGGCGATCTTACCTTCTTTGGCGCTTATAGAATCGATTTATCAGATGAATGCTAAGCCTAAAGTCACGCAATATTTATTACTCAATGAATGAAGCTATGTTGTTCTCATAAACAACTATATATTTTCCTTAGAAACAAAAATAGATTTGAAGCATTACTTGAGTAAATATAATCCATTGTGAGATGGTTAAAATAAAAAGGTCATTTACTGGACGCAAGTCAACTTGTGTTATCGTTTTCTTTTCACGGCTATCTCCGTTTGAATGCTTAAAATTTCAAGAAAGAAAACATCAAAAGCAAAATAAGCTCCGAAGAAAGAAGAGATAGGCTCAAGGTACAGTGTAATCACGTGGCACATTTTGTAGATCCTGGTTCTTAGCTCAGTTTCTCATTGATAAAAAGGCCAAGATTGAGGCCAGCGCCATTTTAGCCAGGTATAAGCAGGGTAACGCAGCCTGCACCCCAGTCGGTGCACCCTGCAGAATAAACTGCAGAGTATCTTTGATGCAGGGAAGTTAGTTAGAGAACCACGGGATAACATAGGGTAGTGGGCAATTAGTTGGCGATAGAGTAGTATACGTGTTGAGCTACAATTGGCATTTCAAAGCGCCCAACTTGCTGCCCTTAAAGTAATGAAGGGGAATTTAACTGGGTGCGGTTTTCCACTGAATAAATATGCGCAGAAATGTTTCCACTTACGATTGGTCACTTCCTCCATTCCACTGATTTGAACATGTCATTCGTGTAAGGACAAAAAGTGCTAGATAATTGCCGTGACGAAAACTTGCTTGGTGAAGATGATAGAATACAATTTTTTGGACCATTTTAAATGGTAGAAAAAAAATGTTGTGGCTTTTTTTTTTGCAGAATGGTAAGCCAAGCAGCGCCACTAGTTTGGTTTTTCCGGTTCTTTACCAGGTACAAAAAGCTTTCGGAAAATACGGTTGGAAAATAAAAAAGAACACGACTTTTTGGGTCGTCCCAGTGGAAAATCTCCTTGAGAAACGAAAAATCGGAAAAGGTAGTCCTGTTTTACCGGATGGAATGCTTCGGATGGAAATTCCTACCGCGTGTTCCTTTTCTTCAAAGCAAGAGAGGATAAAGCTCTATACTCTCCGGTTCAAAGCTATCTTTGATAACGGTAAAGGGAAATGATTTATACACGATTCCATAATAAAATTTGCCAGTCCGGAATTTTGCTTACCACAGTTGCCCAAACTGTAAACGCACCGGCTTTCCCTTAAAAAATGGTAAAGAGGCTCCGTTTTTTGCCATTCGTCTTAAGCGGCAAGCTTGAGTCAGGTGATATCCGGTCGCAAATTCAACGAGGTGGACGACTGTGAAGTAGGCTACTGCAATCTATTTTCTACTCAAACAAAGCCGAGAATGACATTCGTTATACCGGGTTTTCTTATCTCGAGGTTTTACTCTACGAAGTCATTTATGAGCAGCTATTATTACCAAGCGACTATGAATCCAGGAGTAGTTCCTATATAACAATGTTTTAAGCCTTCATTGGCATTTTCATTCATTTTTCCAAATTCCGGTCTCAATACTAAAGAACTAAATGCTACCTTGGGTCTAATGCCCTTCATTTATATGCGTAAACTTTACCCCGCCCTATTTAAATAATTATTTTAATTTAAATGCGTCCGTACACACAGTTCAGGGGCACCCAACGAGAATATAGTTCAAAACCACTTAAACTTATAATTGTTAAACGTATTTCAGTATTTAAACGATTGCTATAGGCATATTTCTATCCCCTAAAAATTTTTCACCTGTTAGGATTTCCTAACTGAAAGTCCAGTGATTCGAAAATTATAGGGCAATGGGCAATTATACCATTTTTAGATGTTCGAAAATCCTAGGAGATGCAGGCAAGTAAAAAATTTTACAACAAATGTTCCGAAAATCTAGATCTCAAATCGTCTTCCGAACAGATATTTTCCGAAAATTGACGTTGGGTGCCCCTGACAGTTACGACTAGACGCTGTAAAAGGGAACTTTGGCAACGACGACGGCGACGGCAACCACGGCCCAGTTGCTGGAAGCATGGCTAGCGTTAACCAGCGTTTAATACCTTGACAACGTATTGATTTTGATACTGCTTAACCAATGGTTAAAGCTAATTATGCTTTGAGCAACTCAGCCCTAATAGTTTGTTACGCAAAACAACAACTTTGCTCGTGCATCACGCTTTTTTGTACATTTCTTCACCGTCTTTGCACGACTACGACGTAAACAAACGACGACGAATCTCTTTTTTCAACCTTTATTCAAAAATTTATAGTCCTGCAACGGGGTTACCATCACGCTAGACGCCTGAATCAAATGAAAAAAATTAAAAGTAATGACATTAAAAAAGAAAAAAAAATTCTATAAAAGATAAAATGGATAAAATAATTAAAATAATTAATTTCACAGCATCAGTCATTATGCAATATCAAAATTTATCATAATAATCTCTTTTTCTCTCTCCAAACTTGAGTGCGGTCCTCAAGAAATCAACTCCAGTAGGAAATTCGCCTACACTTGCCATTTTCAGCAAATTAGAATAAACGCGACAAAGATTGAAAAAACGGGAATTCTTTTTAAAACTGACGTTTTCGCTGCCGTTGCCGTCGTCGATGCTAAAGCTCCCTTTTATTTTACTGGTGTGTTGGAATTTAACAGCCTTCCCATTTTTATGAAATCAAAGAAATCTTTCCTTGGTTTCTGAAGGGAAACTAAATAACAAGACCCCCTTTGATAACAGTGCTTATTACACTGACAGGGTTATAAATGTTATATATTATTAATATTCAATTATAAAGTTTTCACTACTCCACTGTCTCGTAATTCCCAGAGGAAACTTTATCACAAAGGAAACCAAACCAAATATAGAAAAAAAGACCAGAGAGACTCAGAGTTTTAATTTATCAAACGTGGGCCAATTCCTACTGTTATATTTCTAAGTGACCAGTGTTTCCAAAAAAAGTCGCTGAGAAGACGACGGTTGATTATAAAACTTGATCAGATAAGGTCTCCGGTAAGACGCACTCGAGCCAAAAGCCCTAACGACCGGAGCTTATCCCGGTTTCCTTAGATGAATCGAAGCATGTCTAGAAGTATTGTTATTTCCCCTGGACGGGATGCCAGTCCATAGCAGGGTCACCACTTAGCAGTATGTCGCCGATACCCTGTTTTTCACTTGGGTGAAGGGAGACAAACTTGAGTAAAGTTCCCGTTGTATAAGGAAACAACGCGACGGGCGAGGCTTGTACCCCGGAGGTCTCCGGTAAGCTGCCCAAAACAGTTTCTCCACGATTTTTAGGAAAGCGGACGAATCGAGCCCGTAATAGATCTGATAGAAGTAAGTACTCACACAGGCAACCAAAAAAATAACACACTAACCCACTGAACAGTCGGAGTGAAGTAGTGATATGTTTCTATTTGGAAAGACATTTGACCTCCAATGTAGAACTTTATTTCCTTCTCAGAAGTTTGTCCCATGCGTTCTTCATTTTAGATCTATACTTACCGCGGCGACGGAAGCAGAAGGTTCCGTAAATTATAGGATCCAGAAAGCTTGCGAAGAGCACGGGGAAATTCGCAACTAAGCAATACAGGGCCTGATTTTCTAACACTTCATTTTTGCCGCTACCATAAGCTATCCACGTGCATATGGCATTTAATGGTGCTGTGCAGACGGCAAACACAGCGACCATGATTGCAAAGGCTTTGCACACGCGCTTATTTTGCAGACGACTCGCTTCACGTTGCAACGCGTAGCTTTTCATTTGTGATGCTTTGAAAATGTTGTATCTTGATTTTTTCAAAGCCAATCCAGCCTGGACATAACAAGCTGTAATAATAGTCATTGGTATGACAAAGTGCAGGAATATTTTGCTCGTATAAAGGATGAGTCGAAGACTGGGAATTGGCGCTGACTGCTCATTTCCACAGGAACGAGGACCAAGCGCCGCATTCCAGACGACGGGTGCTGTAAAAACTGCTGAAAGCAACCAGCACAGGCTCAACATAATTACGATTGCTGTTGTAGTGAAGCGAGGTTGAAGGGGTGTCACCACTGAACGCCTTCTTTCCAAAGCGATAATAACCTGGGCAAACACTCGTATGTATGGATAAAACATGACCATTGGAAGCATTATCCGGCATGTAATAAACGACGTGTGTGTGATGTCAACTGCTGAGTACAAAACTGCTGGTGTCAACGTCATTAAAATCAAAATATCTACCACCACCAAATGAAGCATCAGCAGTTGGTTTGTTGTCAATTTACGTCGTTGTTTCGTTTTTCTGATTTCGTGGAATACAAGGGCATTTTCTATGATTCCAACGATAAAAAACACGCAATACAGTGTTTCCAGGGCTATGGCGAACTTTCTTGTTGTGCCGCCTGAATTACTGGATAACAGAGCATCGGACATGTCTGAGTGTCGTACTCCTCAATAAGTAGATATCGTCTGCCTTGATTTAATAGAAAAAAAATCCTATATTAGCAAGTCTTTTAATGTATTTGCTCAACCTTCTGCAATTAAGAATTGTTAAAGGACGGCAATGAGAGACCAAACTGTTGCTGGATAATGTTCCGGGCAACCGATCTTAGGGGTTCTATTCATTTTTTCTTGACCCGTTTATGCAGGTGTTCATTATCTGTTTTATCAACCAATAAGTGGCGGCAGCCCAGTTTCTTTTCACCAAGTTGTCAGTGGAAGATTACTTTTCATTAATCGTTTTTCGGGTAGGTTTACGTTGTGCTTTCGATTCCCTAAACCAACCAAAAGCCGCGCTCGTTTCAGTGCGGAGGACAGCCTCTGTTAAATAAATCCACAGGATATTCTAATATTCTTTTTCGTTTGAAATGTTAATTTTTTTTTCGTGTGAAATCATTTCAAGCTCGATCAAATCATGAAAATCATTGAAAGTGAAAGTGAAAATCATTAGAAGTGTGTCGCACTTTTAGCGATTTTAATTTCAACGCTTTAGCCCCACAAACAATTAACAACAAATTTGAGAATTTTCTATATTTCTAATGGCTATTTTATGATT